TCTTCCATATGCTCCGTGAAAGGGAAATATGTCATCTAGTTTTATATGACCTTGGTATCTTTCAAGTGCGGCTTGATGTGCGCAATCTGGAAAACTTGAAAACTTACCAGTTTTCTGGTCGTACCTTTGTTTGATGTGATTTTTAATTGTTTAAGTTCGTTTTTGCAATCGTCAGGGCTGAGGTGCAATGTTGAGAAAAATTATGTGTCATCCAATAGGGGAGTTGTTCTGTAGTGTCTGGGGGATTAAAAGGGTTTTCTCTAATTTGTTCAGATGTAGGAGTTGACTCTAAAAAATCTGATGGGATGTTTGATTGTTGAGATGGAGTCTATGTGGTACTTTGAATTGTACTGCTAGAAAGGTTTACAGGATTTGTTGTTGGTGATCGAGGAATGTTGAATTGAACTCTGGGGTTTTGCAAATATCTGTTTCGTCTTGGATGAATAATTTGTCGATTTATTTCTAGTGTGTCTTGGTTTTGACTTTGGTGTCTTACTCTATTAAGATCTTGTTGGAAGTTTTTTAGGCTAGGGTATATATAATATACTGGTTTGTATTGTGGTTCGCTCAGTGATGCTTGGCGAATTACTGGCTCTAGTGGCTCAGACAATCGTGCGTGTCTTTCTTCAAATGTATATGGATTTTCTTGAAAAAAGATGCGTGTTCATGATTGAGGGTTATTTTTTTTGTGTATTTTTTGGTGTTGTTGGAGGTTCTTGAAACGTTGTTGGTGGGGACTGATGTGGGGGTTGCTGATTAGCAATTTTGGAAAATTATTTATTTAAGAGGGAATTTTATGTTTATTGTAATATTCTTCATTGAAAATGATTTATGGTAGCGTTGCTAAAGTGAAGGTTACGATAGCCTTCTTTATACATTTGCAAATAAAAATATTATAAGAAGAAGAAGAACATCTGTTCTACTGGATAGATGTTGGAACATTTAGATAGTTATTTGAAATATCGTACCTGAAGTGGTGGTCAATGATTTTGGAGATATTTACGTAGGTTTGGGCTAGAGAATAAAAAAAGATGAAAAAGTTGCAAAAAATATCAGGGTGAAGATGAATGTTTCTAAAAAGTTGGATATGAAAATTATACAAGATTTGACAAAATTGGAAAGAATTGAAAAAAAAATTGAAAGTATACTATGCAATTTGTGAACTGTTTGAGAAAAGAGCATTTGAAGAAGTGATTTCTTTGTCGAATTACTTATTTTTTGAGGCAAAATTCAAGTGTAGTCGGATTATTTTTTGATTTTTTGACAGGTGGGTTAGATTTCGGCAATTTTTGAGAGGGGAAAATTTGGAGGGCTCTTCAGTGTCTTCCTGGTTTTGTTGTTATTTACTGGATGATTGGGAGTATCTGAGGGAGATATTGGTACTTTAGGCTAATTGGTCATGTCCATTTTGTTCTTTAGGCTAGTTTAATATTTTTGCCTTAGGGTTTTTGAGGTCTAAGTTGGGACAATATGGTCGATCTTTGTACTGCTTGATAAGGGAAGGTTTTAATATTGAAACTTTGTTTATTGCAGGTGTCAATGTTCAGCGGTTTGCTTATTTTTGACCTGGAGGTCTTTTAGTTATTAGCTTGAGGGTGGTTGTTTGTCGGCTAGAGAAGTCGTGTTAAAAATGAGGTGATGATTCAAAAAAGCTTCTTATTGGCTGAATTTGAACTAGTTTGTTCAAGTGCTTTTCAGCATGAATTTTGAGAAAATGTTAGGTCCATGAAAATATCTTCAAGAGGTGAAAATGTTAATTAATTTAAAGTGGTTTTTGAAATTCAATTTTCTTTAATATTTTGGATTGTGGGATGATTGTTTTGTAATCTTTTTGTGGCTGATTACGAAGTCGCGATGATTGTCTATGTAGAAATTTTTCTTTTTGATCTTGTGGTATAATTTTTTTTTTACAAATTTTCGATTTTTTCTTTCTTTTGAGGTATCTTTTAGTGGTCTACGTTTTTTGATATTTGTTTGGGAAGCTCTTTGTCTTTTTTTCTAATTGTTTTTGGATAGGGTGCATACCAGTGTTTTGGTTTTGATTTTGTTCTGAGCTATTTTGAATAACTTTGAGTCCTGTAAAAGAATATAATTGTGTATGTTCTCGAAGTGCGTACACTTTTGCGTAATGAGGTAAAAGGTTTCGATGCTGAACGATTTCTTTTCTGTGTAAGTCTGTAAGTTTGTATGTGTTTTACATCAATGGGTTTATCAATTATTTGATACGGTCCTTTTCGGAGTGGTTGTATTTTCTTAGAAATTCCTTTTTGTGTTGTAATGTTTGGAATTGAAATATATGTCCGATTTAACTTTTGTAGCTGGGGTAAATCGGAAATTTGTATGGAAACTAATATTTTGCCTTTGTAGTAATTTTTTGTTACGTTCTGTTAAAGTTTGTTGTGTTTTTTTATCTCTGTTCAAAATCCATTCGGTGTGTGTACCTGAAGCTGATTTCAAAATGTGTGGATGATGAAAAGGATCTTCATCGTGGGTATGTAGTGGTAGAATTTAACATATTGATTCTTTAGTGGGTTGGCAATAACGTTATGCGTTTTTTGAAGAGTTTGCTGTAAACATTTTTGGTTTCCGTGGTTTTTGGTTGAAAACCATTTTTTAGGGTGATAGTCCTAAGGTTGTTGCGATTTGTGAATTATAAGATAGTGGGAATCGTTTTACATCTGTTGAACATTCGTAGATCGTGTGTCATGTCCGTTAATGATACATCTAGATATTCTTGTGGTGAACGGTTCATGCCTACGACTAATCCATTAGTCCAAGTGCGAGTACTGTGTTAGTAGAGTAGTTCCGACTAAATTACCACCAACAATGTCATCAATGACGGTACAGTCGGTCGAAATTGACGCAAAAACCACAACTTTAAATTAGCCACAAGATAATTACGACCAACATAGTTGCCACAAGGGACCGATCCACAGAAATGAGAAATGGAGGCTGAAGTGTCTCCAAAAGAGTTGCTGAAGATTCTCCAAAAAGTATTAGGACTCAGTTTTGTTTCATCTGCTGCCAGAGGAGACCAAAACGTGAAGCTGTTAGTAAAGTTCGTCAGGAAAAGGACTGGGAGGCTCTAAAAAGTTGATACGGACAATACTGGTACACTATCAGAAACCGACTACACTCGACAAACAGTGTATCGACAAACAGTAATATCAGACTAGTTGTCTACTATTCGACAAAAAATTTGTATTACGCTCACAAAGGGGTACAAGCACAAGTAGATAAAACATAAAAAGCGAAATGACCAACTAGCAATAAAAATACGCCTTGCCACGATTGTGAAAGATCCGAAAACATTTGAACAAAAACGCAAAATAACAGACAGAAAAATCCTTACTTACACTCCTCACAGCGCTTATTTATGAAATTTAGTCAAAGAATCCCGATTGTTGAGAAATAGTGGCCTCGCATTTATCCCAAACCTGAAAATCTACCGACCAAGCAGACCTCCGCGGTTAAGCGACATTGTAGCATTTAAATTCGTTCGGACAATGTTTGATTATCATCACCTTTTGAGTGCTTTGCAGCTGCTGCCTACGATCTTGAACATGTCACCGTGTTTTGTAATAACTTCGCTCTTCAATTATTCAGCAAAAAGTTATAAAATCTGTTTTAGGAAAAATATTTGAAATTATATTGATTTTTCATTATCGTTCATCGGAACATTTTCAATTTCATTCCTTCAAATTTTTTCAATTCACTCTGGGACAACATTCCTATATCTGAAAAAAATTAAGATTAAAATTTGAATTTTTTTTTCGTTTTCGATATTGAAGCAATTACTTTTACCTTAAAAAAGTGCTTTAATTGTTTCTACTTGTTTCAGCGTAGTAATGAGCATTTTGTGAATATCCTCTTCGATTACAATTTTTCTTGAAATTTAGCAAAAATGCTGGCATTAATTCAACAACTAAGAGTTCAAAAAATTATAAAAACGTGAAAATTCTTCAAAATTTGCAGCGTGTTGTTATAAAAATTGCAAAATTTTTGTGCCTTTATCATCATAAGTCGGCCAGATTGGCAGCTTTAAAACATTCATATTCTTTCAAAAAACAATTCAGAGGTCACTTATTTTTTTGAAGTCGATTTTAAGGGAACAGGATTTTTCAGATTGTTTGAAACAAGTTATTCGAAGACCTGAGCTCAAATATACTGCAAGTTTTTTCAAAAATTGAAACCACTGCTGAATAAATTTTTGCACCGTAGTTTTTGACACCAAGTTTTTTCCTGAAAGTTAATTTTTTGTCTAGTAACGGTATAATTTGATTTTTTAAGCACCAAAGTGGCTCCGAAAATTTGTTTGTTTTTTTTTCGGAACCGGTTTTTATATTTCAAAGAGGTTTGCAGAGCTTGGTGTTTTTCTGTAACAACAATATGAAATCATTAGAAAAATCAGTATAAAAAGATTGCCGGTATACAGACAGAACAATTTTTCTGTGTGTGTCTATAAAAATTTCTGAAAGGTTTTTCCTATTGATGCAGTATTGTCTTTTTTTGATGTAAAGCAGTTTGTTGAAAAATTTAATCGCGTTAACGTTTTTTTTAGTGTGTTTTGGGATTTTTTTCAATATTAGTGTTTTGCTAATTTTTTCATTAGTTACGGTTTTGCTGCTCATGTTGATTGCCATAAAAGTACAGATCTAGTGCATTGATGGGTTTCTTATACAACGATTGAGGCTCCGTAGTTTCTCTTATTGTTCCTAGTATCAGCGTGATTTTAGTTCAGTAAGGTTTGTCTCTTATCTCTTCAGGTATTTTTAATTCATTTAGCCCTCTATAAAGAGTAGTAGTTGCTGAAATGTATTCGTTCACAAAATTCTAGTTTCGGAGTTTAGCACTAATTAGCAGTCTTTTTTTGCATTGAACATTGAAATTAAAAAACCTTCGGGTATCGAGACAACTTAAGATACTTTTCATCTGAAAAATTAATTTTGATTTCTTTTCCAGGAGACTGTTGTAAATTTCAACTTGCGCTCTTTCGGGGGGAGGGATTGAACTATGGTATCGATGCCCTCGAGTATCACAGGTGCATTATAGATTTCTCATCATTTCCTCGGAAGACGGTCAATTATCTCAGTGTGAGTTATTGTCAAGGTCAAAAATAGATCGTTAATCTTTGCGAAATGTTAATTTGTTAATTTTTGCAAGTTTTTTTTATACGGACAAAACTTGTATATCCCTCTCATCATTGATTTAAACTTTAAGACAGATGGACATTTTTGAATCAGATTCCTCAGAATACAAAAGCCAGAAAGATCCGTAAAAATGTGAAGAATTCTTTTATTCGGAACTAATTTACGACTTTTGTTTGAAAATTGCTTATGACCCAGATCAAATCAAAATTACAAAAACAGGCCATCTGAAACGATTCCATAATCAAAGTTGATGAAACATATTTTCGATTTTTCAGTCAATTTTCCCAGTTTTTTTGCATCGCAAAAAAAATTATTTTCACCTCAACAACCTTGCTCCACTGAATAAAAAATAATAAAAATGATAGAACCGAGATATTGAATTTTTACTAATTTGAGCCACATGAACTATCAGTTATCACCCCAACCCTTTCAAGATATTTTATTTAGTGAGATCTATCTATTATCTTTTCCCGCTGTTTTTAAAGGGTTTGAAAAATGCCCCAAAATTGAAATTTCCTTTTATTTGCAGGGGTTAGAACAAAACCGACTAACCAGTTATCAGATAGTTATCAGTCATCAATTGTTGAGACAATTCAATTCATTTAGGTTCGTTACCATCCTGCGCATGGTAATATTGTCACTGCTGTTGGTTTTGGAAACGGGGCTATCGATTATATCCGAGAAGACAAGAGAGTTGATCCCAACATAACTCACCATTTTCCAATCAAGGTTAACAACATACATGATAATATGTGGTACACGGCAAAATTTATACCAATGAAAACTTATAAACTATACCAATGAAACACGGCCGTAAATCAAAAACTATTGGAATCGTACAAATAAAGATATCGTGAATTCTCGCTAAATCAGCAAAAAATTCGAATGTTTTGGCTCCTCCGGTGCAACATTTGTGTAACCGAATTGACCTGCAAATTCAGCTTTAAAATTATCTAAAAAATTATTTTAGTTGCTATTATTCACCAAACTAATTATCAAGTTTTTAATAAAATTAGGTGTTTTTTGTTCAAAGTTGCGAGGAACGATAAAAGTTAGTGAATCGTTCATCTGTGTTGATCAGGACACTTTTAAAAAACCCTAATTCTTAAAACAAGGGCTATTTAGAGCTCTATTAGTGGTTTTGTGAGCTCTATCGACTTCTCAAAATTCAAAAAGATCACATTTAGCAAATTTGAGCCATTTTTGTTCAAATTTTACATGCAGATATGCTTCCTTTTGTAAATTCAGGTTAATTGGTATCGAAACTGCACTCTTACAAAACATGTTTGGTGCTTCTAGAAATAGCATTTGAAAAAAAAAATTGCAACATGAATCAACGTAACAGATTTTTTTCATTGAAACTACAATGCTGATTTAAATTAACCGGACAAAACGCGTTAAAATTAAAATTTCAAACGCGTTTTTCTCAAGTTGGGCTGAGTTTAAGTGAAAACTTATGAACACAAAACTTGCTTAAATTTTTAGCAGAATTAATATGGTGTAATTTGTTTTGCGAAATTCGGGCCCAAAATTTTACGCCAAAAATGAGTCATTTTGGCTATTCTTAGTTAATCAAAAATTACGTTAGTAGAAAATTACGCCAAAAGTACCCAGTCGATCACAGACATAATTATATCAAAATGAGCTCCTTACCCGCACCGAGCGCCCATGGATCATAATCGATTATATTGTGATAATATGGTCATTATCCATAAAATGACAAAATAATCGATTATAATCCATTAAAACGGTACGTAGCCCAACAAACTTTAAGAAGAGTATATTCTCCAGCATTGTTTAAAATTAATTTATTTTTGCTTGATAGACAAAAAAGGTCGTTTTTACTAAATAAAATACCAACTATTTATTTAAAAACAACTTTTAAACGGGTTGCAAATTTTTTTTTTTTTGGAGAATATATCCTTCTTAAAGTTTGTTGGGCTACGTAAGGGGCTCACTTTGATATAATTATGTCTGTGATCGACTGGGTATTTTCGGCGTAATTTTTGATTAATTAAGAACAGCCAAAATGACTCATTTTTGGGGTAAAATTTCGGACCCGAATTTCGCAAATCAAACTACACCATTTTAATTCTGCTAAAATTTTAAGCAAGTTTCGTCATCATAAGTTTTCGCTTAAATTCAACCCAATTTGAGAAAAACGCGTTTTAAATTTCAAGTTTAACGCATTTTGTCCGGTTGATTTAAATCACCACTGTATTTTAACTTGCTTAAATTGCTCTTATAGCAGTGCTGTAAGAGCAATTTAAGCAAACTACAATAGTTTCAATGAAAAATCAATTCAGAATTGTAAGAAAAACATGAGACTTTTGAAACTGCATCCACTTTAACGTGCTACTGCTTGAATAGAAAACATCATGAATTGGAAAAAAATTTCATAGCTAAAAGACTTGAGTATAACTTTTTTTGTAATTTTTTAATACCCTAGTAGTCATGTTTTAAACATTTCAATAATTTTTTTTTCTATAACTACTTAAGTCTTTAAGTTCTATAACATTTCAATAAGTAATTCAATATAATGCAAATGTACCACGTATTGTGAAAATTATCACTCGTCAAGAAGAAAAGTCTGGCCAATTTTGGTAGTTTGAGCATGTTTCGCAGCGCGAAACACTTAGCAGAACGGGTGAACTTCGCGTGGTTCAAAAGAAACGTGATCTGTTTCGACCAGCCATGGATCTGCTCATTGTATGGACCGTACATTTATTTAGAGTTCTGATTGTGCTATTGCAGTTTTGATGCGGACTTAACTTCAATTCAAATCTCATCAATCAGTTCCTGTTTTTTGTATTACTTTTAGAACATTTATTTCAGCAGAGGCGGATTTAAGGGGGAGGGGGCCTTCCGACCCTACCGCCCCCTGTACTATTTTGAGATATCCATTTTTGGTGACGGAACCTAAAATTTTTCTAAAGGCGCCTTCGGTGCCAATAAATACTAATTTTGAAGGGGGATTGCACGCCGAAAAAACGCGTTTTTTTTTTTGTAAAATTTTCCAAAAAGTGCCTTAAAACGCTTTTTTTTGGCCTGTTTTTTTTTCGAAATTTTGCCTGTGGCGCAGAAATATCGGCCAGAACAGGGTCTTAGTAGTGCTTTGGGAGAGCTCAGAAAATCAATAAATCAATTTGGTCGACCTAAAAAAAGGTCGACAAAACTTTTGAAGTTTTTTTTTGAAAATCCGCTTTCCCTTGAGAAAATCCTAGATCCGCCCTGTATTTCAGTACTGATTTTCAGTTCTCTAAATACAGGTAGTGTTCAGCGGAAAAAAAACTGACACCAAAACCTAGAAATTTGATGATTAACATCTGGAAGTGATTCTTGCGTCGAAGTTATGAGACAATCCACATTTTGACTCTGCAATAGAAACAATCAGATTTCAAGATTATTGTTTGTTTGGATCAAAAGTTTGTCTCTTTTTTGGAACTGGATCTAAAGCAATAACCAAGTATTGATGTTCAATTTGATCTAATATTTTCAAACCGCAGTGTATGACTTTACAAATTTGAATAATTTTTCAAAATTATTTTCAAGAAGGCTCGCAAAAAAAGTTCAATGAAGGATGTTGAGGATAATTTTGAAGATTATGTATTTTTAGTAGCTGAAAAGGTTTCTTAGGACCTGTTTAGTTTTGTCGCGCTTATTCTCTTAGCCCAACACTTTTTGAAAGTTCAACTAATTTCTTCTAAGTTTCTAAATGCTTCTTCCAAAACTCTATTGATTTGTCATGAGACGACAATTCGTCGCAAGCCACAATTGATTGCAAGCGACGATTCGCAGCATTTTTAAAAGGCGACACTTCGCACCAACCGTCTATTCGTAGCGAGCGACATTTAGCAGCACGATTTATTTTCTTATTGAGGGGGATTACCGGGGATAAACTTCAAGCGGGCAATCAAAAACTACAATTTAGCACCAATTTTGAATTAAAAATTAAATTGGAATGAATTAAAACCAAAAATAAGAGTAATTGAACATTAGTCGCATCTAAAAAACCTTACTTTCAAGTCATTCGTTTAAGTTCCGTCTGGCAAATCAGTACACTTATTGATCCCAATATGCCTTTAAACTTTGTCATGAGCAAGCAAGGAAAACTGAAATTGGTCCACAATGGAGAAACTTTCAATCTAAACTGATACTGCAAACCTAAGCTTGAACCTAAGCTTTCAAGGTTGAGACTTTTCTAAGTTTAATTTGTCTTAAAACATTGGATTAGCATGACTGCAAGGCATGCGTTTCATCGGGGGAAAACTTGCCACACCCTGCGGAACACAATAATAACCCCTCGAAAAGGCTAACTTTTTGAAGACCGGGGGTATTTTTTGGGGGGGATCAAAAATTGTTTCTTGTAATGTTCTAAGCCTGTAAATTAAAAAGGGTTAAACTTGCTATCAAACAGAAAAAAAAAACAACATTGGAGCCTCCCAGGATCGGTTAGGTGGAAAATGCTGGGTATATTAGTCTCGAAACTGTTGTTAACTTGCCTAAAAACAAGTCCCTCGCCAGAACTGTTCAACGGCAACGAACAACCTCTTTACGCCCCCACTCCTTATAAGTCAATGATGTGCCTTTCGCGTTAAGCAAGACCCTGACGAGTTATAATTTACGCCTTTTCGATTTCAGACCGGTTGAAAATGCCGAATGTTAATATTTGTCATCGACGAGATCTTTGAAGTTTTGGAAAGCAACGCAGTCCGGCACCTAGGTTGGACGTTTAAAGCATGTCCCGCGTTAGTTTATCAAACTCTTACAAAACATGCAGTGATTAATGATCAAATTGTTCCATTAGTCTTTTTTTTTCTTCAAAAAAATTGAACAGCAATATATCCGAGCCGTCATAAAATTAAAAAAAAAAACAATACAGGACTTGAGCTCTCACAGATTGTATTAGATTTTGAAAAAGCTTTAGTTAACGCTTTTCAGACGATATTCAGTTGAGTAGCTAAAAAATCGCTTCAGTCATTTTTCTCAGACCATTTGGTGCAAATTTCAAGAGATCGAAATAGCACCAGTTTATCGGGAAGATAAGAAATTGCGCATGCTTTTAAAGTCAATTGTTGCTCTGGCACTAATACCCGCGGTTGACTTTGAAATTGGCATGGCTGCTCTATGCTCTGAAGTTACCGAGAAAAGTGATGAGTACCGTTACTGGATTATTTTGAATCAACTTGGGTTTAAATGATTCTCCGAGGACGCGCGGGGGACGCTCTATGTATGACACTAGGATTTCGGGAAATCCGAATTTAGCTATCCAGTGTTCGTAGAGTGTTGTATATGCATAGTAAGCATTACAATGGGGTACTGGGTTGAGTGCTACGTAGTGTGTAAATGCAGCAACAATGACCATTATATAGGAGTTTCCTTCTGAAGATGGCGAAATTGGTCCTTATGTGTCAAGTTATATTCTGTGATTGAAATACAAACTGTGTCCTTTAAATTCTTGTTTTTCTGCGATTTGTTTTTGATTTGGGTCGGGTTTATTTAATTGACATATTATACAATCGTTGCATAATCTTTTAATCCAAATTGGTGCATTGGGGAAATAAAAATTTTGGATAAAATTAGAGTACGTCTTTTCTGATCCTGGATGTCCTTTAGTATGTAGGGTATTTGAAGTATTGAATGCTATTAGCATCACACTTAAGGGTAGACAAGGTACTTTAAAATCAGTTGTTTTATATTCTAAAATATCTGTGTTTTCTTTCATAGTAGTATTATTGAATTTTTTTGAATTATCTAAGGAGTATTTTGTTTCCTAAGATTGTGGTATCAGCTTTGGTTGGTTTAGTTATATACTTGTGCCATGATTTTAGTTTTCTGATGACGGGATCGAGGTTTTGATATTTTTGTAATAGTTCTAGTGTAATTTTTTCTGTTGTTGGTAGAAAAAAAAGTTTTCTATTTCTGTTTTGGATAGGGGTAATGTGTCAAGTGGGTCATGTAGATTGAAAACTTGATTTATCGTGTATTTTGAATCATTTGGTAACGGTCCTGATAAACTTATTGTTTCCGTTAAATTTTCCTTTCCAATTAAAGGGAATGGGTCTTTTTTTGTGGTTGTTGTTTAATTCGCTTTTGTTGAGTATTGTTTTTGATCCAATGTGAACATGGAATCGGCTTAAATGTAGATGTGCCTAAATCATTTTCATAATGGTTGTTTTGACACTCTAAATAGAGTGGAAAATGTTGTAGATTGTTTATTTGTGATTGATCTATGTCGGTTTTTACTGAAAATTTGCATTCCAATCGTTTCATCTTTAGCGAGATAGATTTTTATATTTTGTGGTATTTCAACTGTTGTTTTCCTTGTTAGTAGTTCAGGTGGCGTATTTCTACTACGAGTATCAGGTAGTGCAAGGTTTTTTCCTGCTGTCCATACTATGTGTAAGTTTGGAAATTTCATTCAAATTAATTGAAATCTGTAAACTAGATGATTCGGATTCGATTTTTGTGCAAAAAGAAATATGATAGGTTTCTGATCCGTAAACAAAACTGTTGGATGTTTTGATCCAAGTATCAAAAATTCATATTCTGTGAGGGTATATATGATAGCTGTGCGTTCTCTCATGAGAGTAGAGAGCCGTAATTCAGCTTGTGTAAATAGGCGGGAATTTGCTGATATAAGATTCATGTTATTTGTTCCATTGTGGGATTGTAGTAATGCTGCACCGATGCCAAAATTTGAAGCATCGCACATTGCATAAAATGGTTGATTGGGATCTGGAATTGTATTTGAAATTTTTTGTTAAGAAGTTTTTTGACTTCTTCAAATTGTGTATGGTATTCTGTTGTCCATTCAAAATTGTTTTATCGTCTAAGAATGTTACAGAATGGTCCTAAGTATAATTGCATTTTGTAGACTTAATTATTTATGAAATTTAACATTCCAAGAAATTCTTGGATTTTCTTTTTGTTTGTAGATGGCTGGAGTTTTTGGATTGCATCTATTCGTGACTTCAAAAGGGTTATAGTGTTTTTCTCTATAATGTGTCCGAGAAATTTTACGCGTGTTAAGAAAAACTGTGATTTGTGTGGGACTGCTTTCATATTTACTTTTTGTAAATTTTGGTGATATTTTCTAGAACTGCGAACATCTCATCTTTAGTTGGTGATTGCATAAAGACGTCGTCTAAAAATGTGATGCCTTTTTCTTGAGTATCAGTGGTCTAAAAGTTTTACTCATAAAGGCTGAAAAAACTGCTGATCCTATGGTTATGCCATAGAAAAATCTATTAAATTCATTTTGTTGATTTCCAATAACAAATTGTGTTAATCGTCGTGATTGTTCGTCTAGGGGCACTTGATTATATGCACTATTCATGTCTGCGGTTGTGAAGTATTTACTGTTTACCTTTGTTAAAATTACTTGAATTGGTTCTATTGGCCAATTACATTTAGATTCATCACTGGGTGAATTTAGATATCTAGCGTCTAGAACTTTTTTTTAGTGATTCTCCTTTGGCGAGAATAATGACCGGGTTGATAAAGGTGTTTTCTTTCGGCTGTTCTTCTTTGTTTACTGGGGATATGATTTCATATTGTTTTAGAATGTCAAGTAATCTATTAACTTTGTCATGTAAGTGGAAAGGTACTTTGCTTGCCCTTTGTTTTTGAAAACTGCATCAAGTTTTAACGGTAGATGGAGTGGTGAATTTATTTTTTCAACGTCGAACTTAGATGTGGCATAAACTGTTGGATATCATAATGT